TTCTCTTCTAATTGTTCTTTTAATGGAGAACTTGTAAGTATAGGAGATTTCTGCTCTCTACCTCTTCGTGTATTTAGTTTTGGTAATATCTTTTGAGTTTGCAATGAAAAAATTAATTTAATATTAGCAGTATTTGTCAAGGGCATAACTACAGCATCGTTTGCAGATTCTAATATGCTTTATTATCATTTGAAATCATCATATCATTGTCAATTATTTGTGTACTTGATTGTACTTGCGAAATATAACTAGAATCATCTGTTTCTATATTATTGATACATCCTGCCTTTTCGGAAGATAATTCTGCTATTGGATTCATTTCTTGTTGATATCTCTCTCCTGTTTATAATAGTGCATCAGCAGCCATAAAGTCTTTTAAAAAAATTCTTCGGTTTAATGGATAGATTTCCTAGTTTTAAATCCTGAAATTCCTTTTTTAATCGAAGAGACTTTACAATAAGCTTTATTAACTATTTCAGCTAGATCGTCGTGAGAAATTTTTTTAAGAGCTTCTTTCTTTAGAAATGCATCGCATTTCTTATGATGAGCAGCTTTAAATGGTCCAAAAAAGCATACATCTAAGGGTTGTAATCTGTGAGAAGTAATACAAGTGAAAGCATTACAATGCCATTTTTTTTGCAATAATTGCAAGAATTTAAAGAAATATGACTGATATGATTATCTAAAATTAGTAAAATTAGATTATCTTTAGTACACTTTACATAATCTTTAAAGTGACAACAATGAAAGAAATAATTCCATATTGGACCATTCATTAGGTGAGCATTTGTATGTAGCTCCAATCGGACCATTTTTTGACAGTGTATCTTTCATTCTTTGGTGAGGAAAGATAAACATAGGCGGGACAAAGTTACCCGAAGCACTCATGGCACAGATTAGCGTAACATTTTTACCTCGCTCTGCAGTAACAACAAGTTAGTAGAGGCAACAGTAGAAGCAACACGCCTCTGACCTTCTCAACAACAATGTATTCTAGTTATTGTACATTAGAAACGCCTGTTTTGTCCATATTCCATATTTTTATTGGTGAAAAGTTATATTTTTTATAAAGCAATTTCAGATTGTCGAAGAAAATATTTACATCACTCTCATTGAAAGATATCACTCGATTAATACTAGTTTGTTCAGATTTGCGAATAGCCATATGAGTTCTTTTCAAAAAATTGTAAAGCCAATCTCTTCCAGCTAATTTTGTCTGTTTATTGAATTTGTTTGGAATAATATTTTGCTCTGCAAAAGAATAAGCTCCACTTCGTATTTGCAGTTAAACCATAAAATCTCTTCAGCCATATCGTTTTCTTGCGCTGGTGTAAAAACTGTCTTCCCATTCATTTTTCGGATCAGTTATTACTCCTATTTGTACTCTCTCTCGTAGTGTATTAAATGGAATATTGTAACTTTTTACAGCTTGGCGTATTGACATGATTCCTTCAATAATCGCTTTCACTGCATTGTAAAGTTTCTTTATTCTATTTTCCTTTATTTGTAGTTCTTTCCCTTTTTCGAGGCATCTAAAGAAACGATAAATTCAAAACTTCAATACATAATTTTAATGTAAAATGTATAGATACTCTATAAATTTATTGTGAACAAACATTCAGAAAGAGGTTACATATGGAGAGAATCATAAAAATCAATCCTTAAATTGTTTTGTATAATTTAAATTGTTTGCATATTTTTTATGTAATTGAATATCAGCTCACCTTACTTGTTCACTCGAATAATCAACAATTGTTTTAATTATAAATTGGGTAGTATGTTAAGCAAATTATGAAGCAATAAGCATACACTTGGGTTACCTAACCTTTTTTGTGGCGCACGTCTGCGCACGTCTGCAGAACGCCGCGACTCGCGCTCCATGATCTTCATGACTCCGATCGTCCGTGTAGTAAAAAAATGTGTAGAAATTAAAAAAAAGATATAGATAATAAATATTCAATTTTTTTAATGAAAGGTTTAAAGAATCAGATTACATTTAGTAATCATAAAATACAGTATATATGTATTTAAGTATGCTAGAAATATTATTATAATGTCATTACTTCTTATATAAATTGTTACTGAAAATTGTCATCGAATATATCTTTTTTGTATTTAGTTATTCATATATGTCTAATAATATATTATTTTAGATAAACTTTATATTAAGTAAAACATTAGATAAAAAGAAATGTATATTATTCTTTAGAATGCTCGTAATTAAGGTGATCGGTCCGATCTGCTGAGTGTTGTGATCCTATTCTCCTCTATTTGCTTGATAACATTAATTTGCACGGCGCACCTCGGAGGTGGAGGGATCATTCGTTCTCTGTTTTTTTTTTTTCGATAATACTATGTTCGCTTCTCCCATTATTATTTCTTTTGCATCCAGCATTTGTACTCGCGATGTTCGTTGAAGCGATTTCCGCTTGTCGAAAAGAAATATTTAATCCGTGCAAGATAGGATGGCGAAATGTCATACCACATTTGGTTTTGTGACCGTACTCGCTAGTGACAGCACAACTTCGTCGTGTTTTCTTACTTTTATTTTGCAACTCGTAATATAACCTCGATTCTCAAATCAGTTGTCATTTATTGCAAATTATCGAAACATCCTTCGGAACTCTGGTTGGATGCCAAGCATAAGTGAGCGTGTCACTCTTCCATTACTTTACTTAATTTCAGTAATTGTTCTCGACAATTCTCTCTATTACGACGGATGAAATTCGACTGCTCAGTCATGAAATTGGCAGAGAGTATGGTTCCACTCAGAGAGGGGAAAAATTAGAGGGTGAGAAAGAGAAGACAATAAGAATCACATACGAATTAATAAGAATGACAAATATGTGTTTGCTATCTCAACTGTACATTAGAAAAACGGATACAAAATTCTGGCTATGTGCTAGGGCAGTCGCAATGTGTATTGCTTCAAATACTTTACACCCGTTAATAGAGATGAATATTCGGTGTATAATACAATTCACAAAGATAGAATAATCTGACTTTTCGACATAGAAGTACAAAGATTGCGAGAATAGATCTCAATTTATTGATCGGACACTACGAACGCTCGCCGGAATACACTAAATCGCATACAGATGATTTTTTAATTCTAACGCGGAATTATCTAGCAGCAATTAATTGTCTCGACCATGCAAAGCGAACGGAAAATTACAGCTCAATATCGTTACACATCAGGCAAAATGGCGACTGAACAAATAATTACACGCAAAAACAACACGCGATGACTGTGGCGAGCATAATGGAGGAATGCTGTATAATGTTCGTAGTGATACGGGCGAACGGCATGAGGCATTTAAATTATTACTCTTATCTATTTATACATAGCGGTAGCTATAGGCTACAGTTTCTTGGCTCGAATTCAATACGTGCGATGCACCCGATCTCGCACGTTGGGGATTGGCGGTCTTACAATCTTTTAACGCTTGTCTCACCGGTGTATCCTTCTCCTCAGACCTTACAATAGCCATCCTTCGACCTCTCCTATCTTTATTTGTTCTCCCTTATTTGCGCATAAGATCTTACGTCCTCCTTCCAGTGATCTGTTCGGCTCGTATGACAACGCAGGTGATCTCTGTATTCTCGGCAGGGGAATTTACACGCAGGCTGCGAGATTCTTTGGGATCGAGCTATCCCAGTCTGATTGACTGATAGTCGGCTCGCGCGACCTCGCGAATCGTGTAGGCCCACGTAATTTCGGCATGTAATTTCGTAAAATAATCGAATTTTCATCAGGGCAGCTTTCTATTAGTCAAATCCTCTCGTACTCTCCCATGGAGTGGATTTTGCTTCCCGCAATAATTCTTAGCGGAGTATTGAGTCGCGCTGGTTTACCTGGCTAGTTTGTTTTAGTTCACTGTTCCGACTATGAGTCGTATACTCATAATTTTCTCGGCACGGTGTTAGTATATGTCAGAGACTATCCCGTTCTGAAGTTCCAGTGGCCGTTAAATCTCTGTAAAAATAGGATCGGCACTAAAAGACCACAAACAGCGGACGCAAATAGAATGACTATAAGAAATATACGACCTGCGCACTCTCGCACTGGGAATATTCCAGGATCTCTTCGGCAGTCTTCTTCTGGAGATTTTCCTCTTTGCTGGTATTCGGGTGAGACAGCTTAATACGTAGGCACCGATTCTCACATTTGTTATTAAAATTCTAGTCAAAATTTTAGCCAAAGGTAACAAAATTAAAGAAATTAAAGCAGTGTACGCAAATACACTCGCCCTCACGAGCCGGGAAGACACAGGATTCGCTTAACGTATCCGCGAAAACCGTCACAGTTTATATAATATTAGGGTAACTCCGGTATATACGCACTTATCAAAAACTTAATTTATTAAATATTATTTATTATGTTTAAAGTAAATCGAACTATATCAGTAAAACCTTTGTACTGTCTACTACTATAAAAAAATTATTAGAAATCCGAAATATTTATTTTTCATATTAAAAAATAAACTTTTTTAAATTTTTACATTTTTGATGTACATCTCATAGGGATGAGTTATGGCTACTCATAGGGGGAGGGGGAGGGATATACGACTCATAAAAAATTTACAAGATATATATGCATATAAATAAAATAAAATCACTCAATAACTTATGAAATGCTTTTATAAAGTTTTTTTAAGGAATAAGAATGATGTGATTTATTATTTCACGTTTGTCAAATATGTTGTATATTTCAAACAGGTGAGATGTACGAGGTCTGTTCAAAAACTATCGCGAATTTTGTGATTTTTCAAAAATTATTTATTTATTCATGAATATCTATTTTGTCCCCTTCAAAGTAATCCCCATCAGATATTATACACTTGTGCCAACGTTTTTTCCAATCCTCGAAGCACTTCAAAAAATCATTTTTTGTGATCTTGTTCAGCTCCTCCTTCGATGCCGTCTTTATCTCTTCAATCGTAGCGTAGCGTCGTCCTTTCATGCCTCTTCAGTTTCTCTTCAGTCGGGAACAAGAAAAAGTCACAGGGGGCCAGATCTGGAATACGGTGGCTGCGGCATCATTAGTGTGTTGTTTTTGGCCAAAAATTCGCGCACAAGCAACGATGTGTGAACGTTATCATGGTGCAAAAGCCAATTTTTGTTCTTCCATAAATCCGGGCGTTTCTGGCGGATTGCTTCGCGTAAATTGCGCATAATTTGCAGGTAATATTCCTTATTGACCGTTCTACCCTGTGGCAAGAACTCATGATGCACCACGCCCTTGCAATCGAAGAAAACT